CCTAATTCTGCAATTACTAGCAACAAATTGGAATCATCAAAATTACCCACTAAAATAGTTGGCGCTAAAAAAACAACAATAGTAAACTCAGTGCTGATAAAAAATTGATCAAAAAATCTGTATTTGCCATGAGCAACATCAAAAAATGCAGCAGAAGTAATGTAATTGACTACCTATCGGAGGTGGGTATTCAGGTAATTTCGTGCTATCCAGTGCTGAAACGCTCTCTGGCTCCGTCGGGTACTCTGCCTCGTAATGAAGACGAAGACTCAACAATGTTCAGAGTATGCATCAACGCCAGTGATACTTCGAATGTTTTGTTAAATAATTATTCTACTACTTCCTCCAATAATGATAATATTCTTTTTTCTAACATTGATCCTGATATTAATTTACTAAATTCTTTTTCTTATAATTCTCCTTACTACACTATCAACGATTTTAATTATACTTTCAATACAATCAAAATTCTTCCATGTAACTCTTCACTATACATTTGCACATTAACAGTAGGAGTTTATTACATAAAGTTGATGATTTACTTGTTTTGATTAATTCTCTAGATAATTTTTTTAACATAATAGTTATCTCTGAATCTTGGTTGAATGAGTTATCAGCTAAACTTATTAAATTAACTAATTACAATTTTATTTTCAAAAACAGACCGAACAAGCAAGGTGGTGGTGTTAGGATTTTTCTCAAGGATGGTATCAATTATTCAGTCTTGGATGAAGTTACGCTCTCCAATTGGGTAGTTGATTACTTGGGTATCGAAATCAAATTAAACAACGCAGTAATATATTTATATGCTTTCTATAGACCCCCTGATTCGGATATTGATTTGCTTATTCAAGTACTCAATCTCATTTTTGGGAAACTTAAATCTAAATCTAACACATATCTTGTTGGTGATTTTAAATCTCCTGAAACCTTCTCTTAACCACTCAGTTGCATCTTTTCCTGATTTTTTAGCTTCTTTTAATTTTCATCCTCTTATGTCCAAGCCTACTCGTGTTTCTCAGTCTTCTTTTTCTTTAATAGACAACATTTTTACTAACAATTTATCAGTCCATTCTTCTAGTATTTTATTACATGACTTTTCAGACCACTTTACTATTTTTACCACATCTTCTTCTCTTGAAATGTATTATACTACTACTCCTCTAAAAGTTTCTAGAAATATTTCCCACAGATCACTTGAGCAGATAAACTTTTGTTTATCTAATCAAGATTGGTCTTCAGTCACTACACTAACCGATATCAATGAATGTTGCACAAATTTCTACTTTCTTTTCTTCAGGATTCTAGACGCTGTCTCACCACAACTACGTTCCAAGTACAAACACCATAAAGGTTGGATCAACAAAAATATCAAATTATCCAAAACTAAATATAAATTATACATAAAAAACATCAAATTTCCTACCGATACTAACATCTCTGCTTACAAAAAGTTCCGTAACTTCTTCACTTCAATAAAAAGAAAGACTGAGCGCAAATTCTATGTCATCAATTTTGCTATTTCTAAAAACGATCCCAAATACCAATGGAAATTGATAAAGCAAGTCCTGAACTCCAATTATCTTTTCTTCCTATATCTAATCTCACCATTAACAACATCCCCATTGACTACAAACAGGACATAAGTGAACACTTGAACGAACACTTTACTACTATCTGCAACAAACTTCTTTCTACTCTTCCTGCTGTTTCAACTAATCCGATTTCATTCATAAGCCGCTCTCTATCTGATTTTATTGATTTTCACCCCATCTCAACTTCTGAATTGATAACTTTAACTGCCAAGATGAAAAATAATAAATCGGTTGCTGCTGACGGATTAAATGTTTTTAATAAAAAATACAATTCACAATTTAACAATTCCCCTAGTCCATATTTTCAATTTATCTTTGTCCACCGGTGTATTCTCTGATACTTTTAAAACCTCTAAAGTTATTCCTATTTTTAAAAACGGTAAACCAGATGACATCAATAACTATAGACCCATTTCTCTTCTCTCTCCACTATCCAAACTTCTTGAAAAATTAGTTTATACTAGGTTGTTCTCCTTTTTTGATGCCAACAAAATTTTTTGCAAAAACCAATACGGTTTCAGGTCAAACCACTCCACAGAGCTTGCTACTCATGATTTCATACATCACATTTTATCCAGGTTGAATGACAAAAAGCTTTCAGTTGGATTATTTTTAGACCTTTCCAAAGCATTTGATGTAATCAATCATAACATCTCACTAAACAAACTAAAACTTTATGGTGTCAGAAACGTAGCCAACGATTGGATTAAGAATTATCTCTCTTCACGTAAACAATACGTCTCAGTTGAAAATCACCAATCTACTACGGCCTTCATTCTAAACGGCGTACCTCAAGGCTCAATTTTAGGCCCTCTACTTTTTCTAATCTATATTAACGATATCCAAAATGTATCTACCGATATAAAATGATTGCTTTATGCTGACGATACCAACCACCTATTTACTCCTGATAACATCTCAAACTGTTCTGATTCAATTAACCAAGTGCTCTCTAAATATTCTGATTGGTTCTCTGCTAATAAACTCATAATAAACTACTCTAAGTGATCTTATATCATCTTTGGCCCAAAAATCTTAACTAATTTGTCTCCAAACTTAAACCTTAATATCAACAATATCTCAATAAATCGTGCATCTTCTAAATTTTTAGGTATAACCATTTCTGAAAATCTTTCTTGGGAATCTCATCTACAATCTATCTCCTCTAAAATGAACAAGCTCATAGGTCTTTTCTTCAAAATCAAGCACAAATTAACCAAATCCGCCTTAAAAAAAACTCTACTATGCTTTTATTTATCCTCATCTCACTTACCGCATAACCATTTGGGGTAACTCACCAAAAACCCATCTTCATTGTATGATATTGTCACAAAAAAGAGCTATACGCTTAATTTTCAACTTAAACCCTTTCTCTCCCACTAGCTCTTTTTTTAGTAAACATAATATTTTGTCGATTAATTGTTTATACATTTATTTTACAGCTATTTTTGTTTTCAAATTCTTAAATAATTTACTTCCCTCATTTTTTTCTAACTTTTTTACACTCAGTGAATCTGTTCAAACTCTCAAAACTAGACACACTACTATCTTTTACTCAGTAAAAACTCGCCTTAAACTCACCTCTACAAGTTTAAAAACAACTGGCCCTAAAATTTGGAAATTATTTGTGCCTCATGCCATTCATAACATAACAAACAAGCAACTCTTCAAAAAAAGGTTGCGATCTCAGCTTTACTTACTTCACCCCGACACCACCATCTAACGATTTATATACGTTAATATATAGCTGTTGTTTAAATATGAATGGATGTGTGGGTGTGTGTTGTGCGTGCGTATGTGTGGTGCGTGTGTTTTTGTCTGTCCGTTATTATTTTGATTATTTGACAGGTTCAGAAGTATTATCTGAATGTATTTCATTCGCGTTAACATTTTTATAAAATTTCGATATAGTATTTGAATGCATTTGAACGCTGAAATTGAGTTTCTTAATTTTCTAACCTTTGAACCTTATGTTTATTAATGACTTAGTTAAGGGTGGCCTCTCCACAAGTTTATTTTAAACTTATTTGGTCCTCTATAATGAAAATAAAAATAAAATAAATAAAATATATATATATATATATACATCATATATTTACATCGTACATATATATATATATATATATATATATATATATATATATATGTGTGCGGGGAAAATATGATGTGTATATATATATATATATATTAT